CCATCTGGTGGTGCAAAGGAGGTGATAGGGTGTGGCAACTAGGGGAACAGCCTCTGGAGCTGGATTGCTTGGTTTTAAGGCTGAGCACTGCCATTTTCCATCTGTGTGAGGCCACTTAAGTCACTTGACTTCTCTCCCTGTCTTGGCATTCTTGTCTGTAACACCGAGTTAGAAGAAATAAATGAGTTTATACAAAGGTTTAAAAAGTTCTTCCTTAATTTATTCATTTTAATGTCCGTTGAAATGAACAGCACCAACAATGCACTATCACAGGACTAAGTTATATGGCGTAAGATTTCGTACTTTCTAACCAGATTATGACTTCTAAATCTACTATACATTGGTTGACATTATCCTAGAGAGATCAATCACCAAGTGACTCCAGATCTGGCCTTGCATATTCTGTATATATTCCTGTAGGATCTTTTCCCAAGTGGGACATACCATGTTGTATTCATCCTTAAAGATTAACAAGCATTTTAAAATAACTATAAAAATATTTCTAATTTAGGATCAGTTTCTCAATTTGCTTTTCCTTGACTTTCTCTACCTGTTAATTAATTAACACCTAGGCTGATATAGATTCATGCTATCTAAAGAAAAAAAATTCTCAAAACATTTCAATGGCCTCTAATAATCATCGTGCAATTTTCACTCAGTCTGAAATAAAGTTCAGCCAAGTAATCCTTTATCCATGAAGCCTGTTTTCTGCTTCTGTGTGTGGAGTTTGAATAAAGCCATCATAAATCAGAGAGGATTAAAATTAAGGAAGTGATAATAGTACAGGTTTTAACTAGGTTTTTGGGGTGTGTGTGTGTGTGTGTGTGTGAGAGAGAGAGAGAGAGAGAGAGAGAACTTATGAGCCATTTATTTAGACCTAACATGAAGCCAGCCAGGTATAGAAGGAAAGACAAAGGATAGTAATGCCCATCACACAGAAATGTCTGCTTGTCACATCTAAGTCTGTGCTTCAGGTTAGAGGTTTTGTTTGATCCTAGCTGACAACTTTGGCTACTTGGGGTCTGTCTGTCTCTGGCCTATGATGCAGTTTTTTAATTTTGACAAAAATCCAGCTGATGGCAGGGTAGAAAGTTTCTGACATATGAAAGAGAAGTGGGACATTTAATAGCATTTATTTCTGGGGGAAATTATAAGAATTTGCATTGATTTGGAGAAAATGGCTGCAAAACAGGAAAAGCAAACTGTGCTACAGAGAGCAAAAAGCACATTTAGTCTTTATACATTCATTACCCATTGAGTTCAAATGGAACACAGTTCTTTCTCCAGAGCCACCTCCATGATTAGGGCTTTAGAAGGTGGTGGCATGGCAAAATAAAAAGCTGATTGGGAAAATTGCTAGTTGGTAGAATACACGTTTTAAGGTTTATTGCTCATACTGAGCTTACATAATACCATCATTACCTCTGACTACATCTGCGTGTGTTTAGTTAGAAAAGGTCATTTAATTTCTGAATTTTCTCAAAAAAAAAACAACCCACAAAAACCGGCTAAAAGGATAAGATGGACGAATTTCTGAATTTCTGTCAATAGCTTTTGAAGCCTGCATGCTTTCAGTTACTTTAATATGCACGTTCTCGGCTCAAAGCAACATTTCCCATTTCATTCTGCTTCAAAAGATATTTCATGTTGGAAATAAGCAAACAGAAAAACAAAATACTACAGAAAGACATTAGCTTTTAAATGGTTACTTTATAAAATAATGATTATTTTTCTGAGTACAAAAGTGATATATATTCATTGTATAATACATGAAAAAAAAGAGTAAACATGAGAAAATCAAGACAGCCATTAACATACTGTTAATATTTAAAGCAGATTCTTGTCTTCCATATTTGTGTGTATGTGTGTGTATTAAGGGGATAGGAGAGTTAGTATTTCTATGTCCTTTTATTTTACTTAAATTATACAATAAAAGGTCCCACATCATGCATATATATATATATGTATGTATTTCAATATCCATAATATTTATGGACATATTATGATTTACTTAGCCTTTCTTTGCAATTATAGGCATTTACATGAAAATTTTAAAGCAATATTGTGACTATTGATGCACAACTCTCTTGTACATAATTTATATCTCTAGGATAAATTCTTAAAAGTGTCAATGCACTGCCAAAGTGAGTGAGCATATATAAATCTTTCAAAAACTTGACACTACTTTTCAGGTATATTGATCAGTTTATACTAGCACCAACAATGCAGGCCACAAGTTCTACTGTGCCAGCCAACTATTATTACAAAGCAAATATGTACTTTATATGGCAAATATTTATTTGCTAATTTGAATTAACAAACACCAATATCATCTCGGGTTTTGGGAGGGGGGTATGTGTTGTTTTTATCATCTCGTTTTAGTTTTTAAATTGTTTTAATGTTTATTTTTTGAGAGAGAGAAAGGAGCCAGCATGAGTGGGGGAGGGGCAGAGGGAGAGGGAGACACAGAATCCGAAGCAGGCTCCAGGCTCTGAGCTGTCAGCACAGAGCTGATGCGGGGTTCAAACTCATGGACCCACGAGATCATGACCTGAGCTGAAGCTGGAGTCTTAACTGACTAAGCCTCCCAGGTGCCCCCATCTCGTTTTCATTAACACTTAATTTATTATCTTCATTTTATCTCTCAAGCTAAGGTAGCATGAAGAATGGCACGATCCCAGCCAGTCTTGCAGAGAGTCCCATGGAGTCTTTCTTGACACAGCAAAGTCTTTAGTAACCACGGCTGTCCGTGACAGAAGGCTGCTGAACCAGAGGGGGCTGGGCATCCATCCAAGGGTGATGCTGCATGAGTTTAAGGGGGGTCAACCCCAGCTCACTGTGCCTCTGTTTGCACAAAATTTTATTCTGAGAACTTGTAAAGTGATTGCAGATTTCTAAATCAAGTCACATTTCAAGTATTTCAAGGTAGTGCCCTAAGTAAAGGAATGTACAAATGAACCCTTTAAAATTTTTTAGGAAATCTAAGAAATAATGTTAAGCATGAATCATCTAATTGGAGTCCTTCAAGAATGTTATGATCAACCCTTTGAGGGTGGCATTTTAGTCAGTTTCATTGTATAATGAGGAAAATTACATCTTTAAGTAACTTGCCCCAGGTCACAAAGCTACTGGGCACTGTGTTCTCACTTTTTCCCTCTCTCTCTCTCTCTCTCCACACACACAAACACACACACACACACACACACACACACCTCTCATACATACATATGTACATACATACAGCACATAGAGCACTTATCCATATGCATATATATTAATTCAAATATGTGTACAAATATATGTATATCTTTGAACTGAGTGTTTAGCAAGTTTGGATGTGTATGTGTGTGTGTTTGTGTACTAAGTTTGTGTGTGTACGTTTTATAAAGAACAGTACTGCAGAGCTTCAGAAAAGTTTCCAGCATTCATTAAAGACTACCTATAATAAAGAAGATTCACTGCTTTTCAATTCTGTCCAATCTTTCTAAGTTATCTGTGACTCCTCTTCAAGATGAACTTTCTTGCCCTTTATTAATTGCAGGATAAATATATCCAGATCAAAGATGACCTGTCCTGGTGTTTTCTCGCCTGTGGGAGAGCATACCCAGTGGATATTTATGCCTGGGGTCTGTACAGTTCAGCCTCACTGTCAGTAGATGCTGACAATTCATTTGCATAATGAACTCTCTGAAGGATCTTTAAAGCCTCTGCCAGCAAAGATTAGAGAATAACTACAAGGATTATTGCTACATCCCCTTCAATGAGCTCTCACACGCTGTCCACTCTGAGCTGAATCGCTGACCCCTAATTTGAGGGCTAACTGAGTGTTATCGGTTTGCTAAGACTTCTTAAGTGCCTGAGCATTGGTTTAGCTCACTGACATCTGGAGAACGGTGGCAGGAAGTCAAGCCAGGCCAGGTGAGTAAAGAAGGGGTCTCCCGTTAAAAGCAAGAAGTTCAACTGCAATGTTTTAAAAGTATTCATTCTGCACCCAAGGTTACGAAAATTGGGCCAACTTGTCTGGAAAGGAAAAATTACTATAGATTGACTAAAATTTCCTTTTTCCCATTGCTATTAGAACTCCCTTCGCAGTAAAAACTTAGCGACCTCAAAGGGCATTTAAGTAAGGTAACTACTGAGACAAATGTAAAGGTAAACGGAATCCATTGTTTAAGAGATATTTCAAATCATCGTCTAGTAATATGTAAACAAACAGAGGGAGCTGAAATGAGAAGTCACAACTGTTCTTTTTTTTTTTAATATTTTTTAATTTATTTCTAGGAGAGAGAGAGAGACAGCGTGAGCAGGGGAGGGTCAGACAGAGAGGGAGACACAGACTCTGAAACAGGCTCCAGGCTCTGAGCTGGCAGTCAGCACAGAGCCCGACGCGGGGCTCGAACCCACGGACCGCGAGATCATGACCTAAGCGAAAGGCGGACGCTTAACCGACTAAGCCACCCAGGCGCCCCAGAAGTCTCAACTTTTCTTAGAGAAAACTTCTTTGATCATTTCTATTTTAGTACTCTTCATTGTAAACCCAATACATTCCCAATAAATCCAGGGAATGTATTTAAACCATTAATTTTTTATTTATAATTCTTTAGCTATATTTATTATTTACTGTGAAAAATATTCACACCATTCCTTATAGGCATTTCTTCCCCCAGTGTCTTTTTTAAGTACATATAATCATGGGGCGCCAGGTGGCTCAGTTGGTTTAGCATTTGACTTTTGATTTTGGCTCAGCTCATGCTCTTACTGTTTCTGAGTTTGAGACTCGCCTCAGGATAGCACAAAAACTTCTTGGGATAATCACTCTCCCCCTCTCTCTGCCCCTCCCCTGTGCCCCTTCTCTCTGTCTCTATCAAAATAAATAAATAAACTTTGAAAAATAAGTATACATAGTCTCTTGATTATTATCTATAATTGAAAAATAACCTGAATAGTTACTGATTCAAGAACTTTAGGCAGTCTCAATTTCCTCCTGTATGAGAAGAAATGGGTCCATCCTAATCCCTGCCGGTCAGCCTGTGGCCTGGTGGGTTCCGCCTGTAGACCAGCACACTCTAGAAGCCTCACCCAGAGAAGTGGGCAAATCCTCAGTAGGCTTGTGCCAGGGGTGCTTCTAGTCACTCGGTGGGGGTGGGGGTGGGGAGAGAAGAGATGACTTCCTTCTACTTCCATCTACCTCTTCTTTCCAACAAACCATCACTCAGCTTTTCTCATCTGTACTTCTAGTGCCATATACTCAAAGTTTATAACATTTTTGTAGCATTTTAGGTTTTTAAAAAGTACTTTCACAACCAAGAGCAAATTTGGCACCTCCTTGTGAAAGGACAGTTGGCAACGAATGAGACAGGTGAGATTGTCACGACTGGTGTCCCAAGGGCTTCCATTGGGTAGAAGCCAGGGATGCTGCTAATTGTCCTACAATGAACAGGACCGTCTACCACAGCAAAGAATTATTTTATTTTTATTTTTTTAACATTTTATTTTATTTTATTTTATTTTTTACAAATAGTTTATTGTCAAATTAGTTTCTACATAACACTCAGTGCTCATCCCCAAAGTGCCCTCCTCCATGCCCATCCCCCCCTCCCCCCCACATCCATCAGTCCTCAGTTTTTGTCAGCATTCAAGAGTCTCTCATGGTTTGCCTCTCTCCCTTTCCCCCACCATTTCCGCCCTTCTTCTCCCCCTTGTTCCTCCATCAAGTTCCTCCTAATCCTCCTATACGTGCAAACATATGATATTTGTCCTTCTCTGCCTGACTTATTTCGCTCAGCATAACACCCTCAAGGTCCATCCATGTTGCTACACATGGCCAGATTTCATTGTTTCTCATTGCCATGTAGTATTCCATGGTATAGATAAACCACATCTTCTTGATCCATTCATCTGTTGATGGACACTTAGGCTCTTTCCATGTTTTAGCTATTGTGGAGAGTGCTGCTATGAACATTGGGGTACATGTGCTCCTATGCCTCAGCATTTCTGTATCCCTTGGGTAAATTCCTAGCAGTGCTATTGCTGGGTCATAAGGGAGTTCTATTGTTAGTTTCCTGAGGAACCTCCACACTGTTTTCCAGAGGGGCTGTACCAGTTTACATTCCCACCAACAGTGTAGGAGGGTGCCCGTTTCTCCACATCCTCGCCAGCATCTAGAGTTCTCTGATTTGCTCATTTTAGCCACTCTGACTGGCGTGAGGTGGTATCTCAGTGTGGTTTTGATTTGTATTTCCCTGATGAGGAGGGATGCTGAGCATCGTTTCATGTGTCTGTTGGCCATCTGGATGTCCTCTTTGGAGAAGTGTCTGTTCATGTCTTCTGCCCATTTCTTCACTGGGTTGTTTGTTTTTCGGGCGTGGAGTTTGGTGAGTTCCTTATAGATTCTGGATATTAACCCTTTATCTGATATGTCATTTGCAACTATCTTTTCCCATTCCGTTGGTTGCCTATTAATTTTCTGGGTTGTTTCCTTGGCTGTGCAGAAGCTTTTAATCTTGATGAGGTCCCAACAGTTTATTTTTGCTCTTGATTCCCTTGCTTTTGGGGATGTGTCAAGTAAGAAGTTGTACCACAGCAAAGAATTATTTTGCCCCAATGTCAATAGCTCTAAATTGAGGAAACCATGGACTCTCCAGGCTTACTCTGAAAAATGAAAACCAAAAGACAAGTTTTTAAATACTATACACCGAAATCCACTGAAGAGCCAGGTAGCAACTTCTGTGTTCTTCAAGGAGATCCTTAAAAGCACCAAGGTAGAGGCATCTGGGTGGCTCAGTCGGTTAAGCGTCCGACTTCGGCTCAGGTCATGATCTCACAGTTCATGGGTTCGAGCCCCTTGTCGGGCTCTGTGCTGACAACCAGCTCAGATCCTGGAGCCTGTTTCAGATTCTGTGTCTCCCTCTCTCTGACCCTCCCCTGCTCACACTGTTTCTCTATCTTAGAAATATAACATTAAAAAAGAAAATAGAAGCACCAAGGTAGAATGACATCCATTTACCTTCAACTTCATAATCCAGTAGAAATCATGCCACATTGCTTCTTACTTGGATCAGGATTTTTTGGAATATTTTTGTTATTCCTGGAATTTCTAATGTCTTATTTTAATCTCATTGAGAGAAGAAATACATGTTGTTGTTGTTTTTTCTTATTACACCACTAGGATTATGCAGCTCCTTCACAAATGTCAGTTTTGCACAGACTGCTTTTCATGACTGCCGAGTAGCTGTCATACAGGGTTTCCCAACACCCCCCCCCACCCATGACCCTCCTCAACCATTTTAGATCTGGCACCTTCACGTCTTAAATTACTTTTTCATGTTGCCAATAAATGTTCTCATGTAATTATGTCAAGAATGATGTGGGAGAGATAAAAAGGTTTGAATACCTTCATACTTGATGGTTTAGCAAAGCTATCCAATCTGTGTCACAGCCACGTATCTCAGAACTTTGGGGATGTTATTTTATTGTCATCAAGTACTTAGTGATCCCGAATAGAAGTTTCATGTCCATCTCAGTCTAAAGCCTTTGGGGGATACACTCCCAAAACTTTTGGAGCTTCTCTTAAGTCTTGGTTGAACTTTTTATTTAGGTTATTTGGGGACTAAATTAACAGAACGAGATGATTGTATTTCTCATGTAAAACAAAATATGAAGACAGGTGTTTCTGAATTGAAGGTTCTCAACTAGCTTTTCTGAGTTCTCTAAGGTTCTAACCTTAGGAGTGTCGGTTCACTGCAGCAACATTAAGCATCATGACCTTCATGGACCTCTCCTCCTCCTCTTCTCTTCATGTTCCTTCTCTTTCTCTTCCATCATCTTCTTCCATTTCTTTGTCTTCCTCTTTCTCCTTCTCCTCCTCTCTTTCTCTCTTTCCCTTAAGCAGAAAGAAATTCCCTTCCTCAAATTCCCCATTTAGCCACCTTCCCCGTTTCATTCAATTGACCATAACTGTGAAGCATCTTCACTTGGTCACTGATCAAGTAGACAGTGTATGCCTATCTCCTGTCGTTGGGAGAGTATGGACCTTGCCTCAGGTAATTTTCTCAATAATTCAGATTCCTCTGAGTCAAAAGGAGCAGACTATCTATTGGGTAAGTAAATGACAATATCTGTAGTCTTTTGAAATTTTATCAGTAACAGCATGTATGGACTGTTTGTTTTTTTTAATTTAATTTTAATTTATTTTATTTTTTATTATTATTTTTATTATTTCATGGTTCCTTTTAATCTAAAGAGTCATTTTTATTAGCTTTGGGAAATTTTTGCCTCCAATTAAATTCCCCATGATTTCTTTCTCCCATTCCTCAGAAACTCCTAACAGAGAAGTGCTGGCCCTCCTGGACTGGTTCCTTTTGACTTTTTTTTTCCCCTCTGATTGCTGTTATGTTTCTTTTGTAAACCATGTTCTTACAAAGTTCTAAATTTAATTCCATAAGGTCCCTACGTTGCTTCTTTTTCATTTTTTTAGTGTTTTTTTTTTATTTATTTCCGAGAGAGAGAGACAGCATGAGCAGGGGAGGGGCAGAGAGAGAGGAAGACACAGAATCCAAAGCAGGCTCCAGGCTCTGAGCTGTCAGCACAGAGCCCGAAGTGACACTCGAATTCACAAACTGTGAGATCATGATCTGAGCTGAAGTTGGATGCTTAACATATGGAGCCACCTAGGTGCCCAACCAAGGCTACGGCTTTTAGCACAGTCACAGCACGTGGTATAAACTCAGGGAACATTATCCATACTAACGGATTAATGAACTCACATAATCCCAAAATAATCCAGAAGATGGCCTTGTGTTAATACTTGCTAAAAGCAAGACAACTTGTGAAATATTATCATGAATGTTTTTTTGTCATTTGTCTGAGTGCCTATAACTAGCAATTGCTATTATTGATTGGTTCCCCTTTGGCCTTCTGATTATCTGTCCACATTGCTCCACAGGCCTTCACTAAGCAATCTGTCTTTGCCTTTAACCCAATACAAGTTACTAATTTGGCAAAACGTCCCCAACATTTTCCAGTATGGGATTTCCATCACCCACTATATTAAATTCTCAATGTTTCTAGGAGAACTGAGGTGGTTCGCAGTAATATTTATACCATTCAAACAAGGGCTTTATAGTCAAATATTTATATAGCTCAAGCAAAGACTTTGTTTTTTTCCTCTATCCTGCCACTTGCTAATTGTGTGACTCTGGGCAATTATGAAACCTCGCTCAGCCTCAGTTCTTTTTCTTTGTAAACTGTGGATAGCTTCTAGCACATTATAGTATACCATGTGCGGTGGGGAAAACCAAGTGAGAAGCTGAATGCAAAGCACTCAGCAGTTTCTTCTATGTGGTTAGTGCTGAAAAAAGTTAGAAAATTATATAGCAAATATTAAGACAGCACAAAAAGAGGAAATTGCAGTCATAACGTCTCTGGCACCAAAGAGAAAAACAAAAAAAACCCTGGAGATTTAAAAGCAAGCTGGGAACATCAAGGGTCCAAATGAAAGAGACACTCCCAAATTGTTGATGTAATACCTGTACTTGATAAAAAATCGTGTATTCAATAAATGAGGGTACATAGTATTAGTATAGGCAGTACATGCATATCATTGGATGAAAGTATTCTCTTTGGTAAATGAGAGTGGTCATTTGCAGGTGTGAACTAATTGGACTGAAGAAGCCAAATACAATTTGTGTCTGCTTCCAACTGAGCCATTTCTGGTCAGTTTTATCTTTTATCTCCAGGGAACTCCTTGGGGAAACTCATCCAGTATATACAGGATAAAGAATGCAAGTCGATAGTCCTCAAAATCTTGATTGCATATTTCAGCAGTAAAAACATTTCAGGACCTCTCTATTTTTGTACATATATGTTTATTTACGAAGTTTTTATATGCAGTACTAAATACTGTTCTAAAACTGTATGCAATTTACAAAACCACAATATAAGGAAGTAGTAAGCAAACATTATAATGCTCCTATATTCCAAAGCATCATTTTATATGTAAATTCCATAGTTGAAAAGAAAAAAAAAACCCAGATTCTCAGGGCAGAAAAAATTATGATGAAGTGTTCGAACAGCCGAAGAGGTTGGTTCTGCGTTCTTAAGCATCAGGTTGTATCCAATTCTCACTGTAATAACT